CTACTTCACAGATCATGCAAGGCTTTGTAACAGAAAATAACCCTTTCTTCTACCTCATGCAAAGCATGATTGTTGTCATTCATTTCACTTACAGATATCATGCCAAACAGATACATATGTTACATTGAGAAGCACATATAAACAAATGCTATGTATTTAGCATTGGTACTATTTGAAAGGGACACTGGGGATTTGTCTTAGTTACATTTCTCATTGCTGAGACAAAATACCCAACATCCAAAGTTAAAGGACAAAAGGCTTATTTAGCTCACAGTTTATAGAGGTTTCTGTTCATAGTTGGCTGGCTTCAAGGCAGGGTGGCATGACAGAGGGGCATTGCAGAGGAGAAACAGTTCATGGTGGGCAGAAGGCAGCATAGTAGTGAAGAAGCAAAGCAGCAAGTGACAAGCAGCCACCCTCTTTTTATCTGTCATATTCTATCCAGGCTACCCATGCCTAGGGCAGGTAGCACTCACACCCAGGGAAGGGCAACCTTAATTCTAGAATCGCATCATGAATCCATCCCGGGATCATCCTTGATCCCAGAAGCACACGTAGATCCAGCCACCTTTGAAAAGCCCCACTTACGACCACATGAGGCTTTGGGGGAACATCTAGACACAAGCTGTAATAGTTTACCCCACCGCCCTAAAGACTCATTCACATCCCTGTATGCAAACAAACATTTAGTCCATTTCCAAGAGTTGCCAAGGTCCTAACAGTTTCAGCATTGTTGAAAAGTCCAAGTGCAAAGTCTTCTCTGAGATTTAAGGCAAACTCTTAGCTATAAGCCCCTGTACAAATGAAAAGAAGGTTAAACATTGTAACATGCAGTGGCACAAGATGAACATTATCACTCCAAAAGGTACAAATAGGGGGATACAGTGGAATGGGACCCAAGAAAGACCAAAACATTAAGTCATATCGTTTCATGTCCCACATCCCCAGCAATCTGTGGCAAAATATGAACTCCAAAGGGCTTGAGTGATTCCACCCCTATGGCATTGCAGGTGGATATAGCTTTCATGGCTTCTTGCTGGGGTGGACTCTGCTTCCTCATTGCAGTTTTCCTCAGATGATCCATGTTTGTGGCTTCTCCAAATTTTTAGGGTCTCCACTGCACCTTTGGCATCATACTTACAGCTTTACACACCACCCTCTCAGAAGCATACTGCCTGGTCTCCCAGGCCTTCTTCTCAAATCTGGGTGGAAACCTTCCTGACCCTACAACTCGCATTCTTCATGTATCTGAAACCAGCACCATGTGATGATATCAGTGTCTGATGCCAGCTGGAGTAGTGGCCAGGCTTCCTTCTCTCCTGGCTGTAGGGATCGAGTGCCTATAAACCAAATCCCAGGGAAAAACTTCCCTAGGCTGCTGCCATTCTGGAACATGGTGCTCTGGGGCTCTCTTCTCAAAACAAAGTCTTTGACTTTTATGATTTTAAGTCTATAAAGGGTAGGGTACTGCTGGTTCTTGTGATATCCTCAGGCCACTATCCTATTCCTTCTCAGCATGCAAGGTCTCCTCTGCTCTATCTTCACAGTCCACAACTTCACTGGAGCTTCTTTTCTGGTCAAACTCAAAATGTTTTAAATCATTCTGCTGGGTTCTTTGCTACTGATTTTGAACATAAATCTGGCTAAAAGCCCCCAACAGTACCCATGCCACTGCTTCAACATTAGACTGTTTTGAAATCTCTTCTGTAAGATGAGTATACTTCCCTTAATCTCACTCAATCTCAGGCAAATTCTTTGGACATGAGCAAAATGCAGACAGACTTTCCCCCAAAGCATAACATACATGGTCTGGAATCCAGCAGCCTGTGCAGTCCATCATAACAGAAACCTCCTGAGCCTTGTCTTTACCAGAAGCATTTCTGCCAGCATTCTGGTCTTCTAAGGTCTGACCAGAATATCCTACCAAGTATAGCTTAAGGCATTGCAGGGATGCTTCTTCAGCTGCATCTCCAAACCTTTCCTAACTCTTCCCAAAGGCTCCTGAACCATGGTCAGGCACAGCAATGACCTCGCTTCTCTGGTACCAATTGTGTCTTAGTTACTTTTGTCCTTGCTGAGATAAAATACCTGACACACAATGTTAAAGAAGAAAGGTTTATTTTGGCTCATAGATTGTAGAGGTTTCAGTCTATAATCACCTGCCTCCAAGGCAGGGTGGCATCACAGAGAAACAGTTTATGACAAGCAAAAGGCAGCATAAGCAGCCAGTGATAAATGACCAGCATCACATACCCTAATCTAGCCACCTCCAAAAAGCTCCATCTATGACCATATGAGTCAGCTTTGGGGTGACATCTAGATATAAGCCATGATGGATTGAAACCAGGGCCTTCACACTGAGCTACAGCCCACCCCATTTTTTATTTTATATGTTGAAACGGGATCTCACTAAGTCATTATATTGCCTAGATTGTGCTGGAACTTGAGTTCCTTCTGCCTAGCCTCCCAGAGTGCTGGGATTATAGGACTGCATCACCATACCTGCTCACTTGTCTATTATATCAAATTAAGAACAAGGAAGTTTTTATGTTACATCTTGTTACTCTTTTTCTTCCTCCTTTCTTTATAAACATCTGAGTACCTGCCCTACATTATTTTTCTTCTTTCCAAAGAACTTCACATTTCTTAACAAGTCTTCTGGCAACAAGTCCCAATTTGGGAAGCATTTTTTCCTTTGGCTTCTTGAAGAATTTTGTTAATGATAGTGTGTACTCTGAAAATGATACACCCATGCATAGGTTTCTTTTTATTTATCCTGTTTGATGTTTGTCCTTTGAGCTTCCTAGACCCAGGGTTTGGTGACTTGACAGTAATTTGAGGAAATTCCTTGTCGTTATTGTTTCAGATATTTCTTCTCTGCTGCTATTTTTCCTCCTTTTTGTATTTCCATGATAGACACTTTACAACTTCTGCAGTTGTCCCACAGTCCTTAGATGATCATTCTGTTGTTTTCAGTCTTTATTCTCTATCAGTTTTGGAGGTTTCCATTTAAATTTGCTCAAGCTCAGAGTCTTTCCTTGGCTGTGTCCAGTCTACTAATAAGCCCATTGGAGACATTCTTCCTTTCTGCTACAGTGTTTTCCACATCTAGCATTTCTTTGTGGTTTTCCTCAGAATTTCCATTTCTCTGCTTACTGTGTCTGTTCTAGCATAATGGACTTTATCCATCAGAGCATTTAACATGGTAGAGTTGTTTTAAATTCCTGGCTTGGTAACTCTGACATCTCCGCCATGTCTAATTCTGATTTGCTCTCTCCAAGTTGAGTTCTTGGTCCTTTTTTGGTGGAGAGTGTGTGTGTGTTGGGGTGTTGAGACAGGTTCTCACTGTGTAGTTCAGGCTGGCCTCAAACTCACGGCAGGCCTCCTGCTTCAGCCTCCCAAGTGCTGAGATTACAGGTATGCACTGCTATGCCCATTGAGTTCTTGGTCTTGTAAAATGTGTTTTCATTTTTTTCCCAGCAGTGACATAATGTACTCAGCTGGGTAAGAGGAGCTGTTATGTAGGCCTCCAGTAATGTGTTGGTAAGGTGTGATGAAAGGGAGGCATCTGTCTTTGGTGAGCCTGTGGCTGTGGGCTTCACACTTGCTTCTCAGTTCCCAGCCCCCAGGTAGGGTGAGAGGGTTAAAATGGGACACACTGCTCTCTTTCCCCAGGTCAGGTCGCCCCTGACAATACTCAGGTAAGTTGAAGGCAGACTTCCTTCAGGGAAACAGAGTGCTCTGGCCTATTTCAAATAGGTTCCTTTCCCCTTTCTACTGCGAGAAGCTTGAGGGCATTTCTCTTCAGCGTTCACCGTGAGACTTGGTTGAGCTCCTGGAGGTAAAACAGAAGCCTGAGACTCTCCTTAAGACTGAGCAGCCCGAAGTTGTTAACTTTCAGTCAGCTCTGGCGAGCTGTGGCTCCGCATGGTCTGGTCTCCATTAGGTGCGGAGTTTGCTCTAAGTCCTCACCTCTTATGGACCCAGGAAGAGCTGATGGTTTCTCAGTCTGTCTGGCTTCTTGCTTGTTTGTTAGGACCAAGTGATGACTTCTAAGCCCCTACATCAGGGGCTTACCTATGGCAAACCTATGGCACACATGTAATTTTCTTTTAGACAACAGGTTTTAATGTACACTTGTGTTTTCTAAACTAAGCGCTCAGTATTCAGGTTTAATTGCAGTGCTGGTGCTTTGCAATAAATAAGTGGGTTTTCAGTTGCCGTTTGGCACTCCCCGTCTAAAAGGTTCGCTGTCACTGTTCTACATAGTAATGGGGCTGGAAACTAGAGAAGTCTTCTTTCTCAATGCTTAAAGGTACTGATGTTCATCTGTGCACTGCTGTAGCTGCCTCCCGTGGAGTTTTTGTTTGTTTGTTTGGAGACAGGGTCTTGCTGTGTAGTTCAGGCTGGTCATGAACTCATGGTGATCTGGCCTCAGCCTCGCAAATGCTGGGATTGTAAGTGTGCACCGCTGCCCCCTCTGATAGGTTTTACTGTGTTGTGTTTCAGTTTCCTCTATCTCAACAAATTTTCCTGATCTCTGTGTGATTGGTTTGACCTTTTTGTTATTCAAGAGTGTAAATTTCTCAGCTTTCTGTTACTGTTTTACAGTTCATTGCATGTGGTGGGAGACCACACCCTGTATGATTTCCACCATTAGCATTTATTGAGGCTTGCTTTGTGGCCAGCGGTGCTCCTGCCTTTGGGGGGTGTTCCATACGCACTTGTGAAAAATAGGAATTTTTCTCCTGTTGTGTGTTCTCACAGACATGTGTTTGCTCCTGCTGTTTTACTGTGTTGGTCACATCTTTTTTCCTGTTTTTCTGTCTGGTTATTCGCGGGTATTGTAAGCCCTTCCCGGGAGGCTTGTGCATAACCCTAAGCCTTCTGATTCGTGCCACATGACGGGCACTGTCAGGGCAGACCCTGGCATTCCTTCCTTGTCAGGATGTGTGGCACTGCATGCAGGCCTCAGACATCCTGTGCTGTTTCAACTCCAGGCTCCCAGCGAGTCCCAGCCCAGACTGCAGGGAGCAGGCTTGCTACAGGCCGCAGTGCCACAAGCGAAGGGAAGCGTGTCCAGCAAGGGCAAGTCCCAGACACCACAGCCCCATTCTGAGACGGTTTTGGAATTGAAGGGACAAGGTAAGAAAGGCAAGCAGAGCCTGGCACTTTCTTTTACATCCTCTCCAGAGCCCTGTTCACATTCGGCAAGTAGCGGTGCTCATGTGCTGTTGCTCATGCACATCCTGTGAGCACAGCGTGCAGCTGGAGACAGCAGTGAGCTCCGTGAGGGGAACGGGAGTGAGGGCCACGAGGCCTCTTCCCTTTCTGACAGCCCATCCTTGTAAGCTGCCTAATGAGAAGTCTGGAGGGTACTTTCATTCAAGACATCACTGCGATTCCAGGATAAAGGAGAGGTGGCTGCGCCCCTGGCAGCTGTCAATGGGAACAAAGGTGACCCATCCCAGACAGATGGCACCCACATACTCAGCACTCCACCCACCTCCACTTGGAGGTTGTTGAGATTACGTTCCTAAGCCGCTTCTCTCTTCCTCATTATGCGGATGAACTGCCACATAAAAGCCTGTGGTGTGTTGCTGAGATTACAAAATGAGCGGCACAGCTGGTTCCCAAACACAGCCCAGCTCTTCCCCACCCCTTGGAAACACCCTGAGAATTGAGTGGCAGCAGGTACTTGTTGTTTTAATCAAAATGATGCGCCAGTGAGGTCCCAGCTAACCATGTTCTGTGCAGAGGAAACCAACGAGATCCAGCCTGTGAGTGAGGAGGCGGCTCAGAGAGACAGTGGCGTGCTGCCCCGGGAGCCAGGCCAAGGACAGGCTGCACAGGACATGGCCGTGGCTGGCGAAGGCCTTGGGGGAGCTGGAGAACTTGTCCGCACCACACAGGTGCCAGTTGCCCTATCATCGAGCCCAGAACACCAGGAGCCAGAAGAACCTGAGCGGGACCAGCTTGTTATCCGAGAAGGGCCAGAGGAGCAGGCTGCTGCCAGGGAAGGTGGGTGCATAGCTCCTTCCCCGAGGTGTCCAGCCCTCTCCACTGCAGACAGCGCTTTGTTGTCTGCCCGATCTCTCCATCTGCCGGTCGTCCACAGTCAAGTTGGAGGCAGGCATGGACAGTGCACATGTAGCCCTTGAGGTTTCAGAAACAGCGCTAACAGAGTTGAGGGGACTCTGCAGGCACAGGTTCCTGAGAAGAGTGCTCGGCAGAGCAGAAACTGTCTCCTGGCAGGCAGGTCACCCCTGCTTGTCCTCGTCATCCGCGCTCTTGTGCAGGTCTGGTATAGGGTATGTTCTGGCTATGAGCTAGCCAGTGGAGGGGAAGGAATGACTGGGTGGATGGAGGTCAGTGTATATTTGAGCACGAGGAAGAAAGACATGTGAATCCCATCTTTTTGGGTTTTTCTAAGTACCGTGCGCTAACCAATTGCGCCACTGGAACTTCAGGGTTTTTCTTTTTAAAGAAAGAGTGGAAATCAGAGATCAACATAATATTCTGGAATGTATTTCCAGGCCTTAAAGATGTAGAGTTTCCATCCCACTTGAGCCAAGGGAACTTAGGAAGACGTGACTGACATGTTTTGCAATAGGCAGGAAATGTAGCTCAGGGGACGTGTTCATTCGCATAAGTTACCCCAATTTGGTTTAAATCTTTTTCACCCATTTCTCTTCTGGAAGAAAGTTCCTTACCTGCTCACAGTGGGAGGTCTGATGCTGTGCCGAGTTTGAGTCCCCTGATGTTGAGGGACAGCTAAGGCTGCGCTGAGGGAGCAGGACCACAGAATCCCCACTCTCACGGTGCGCAGGGCTTCCCACCTTAGATAAGGAGTGAGGAGAAACAGCACCGCACATATTCCAGTCTTTGTCTTCAATCTTACAAGCTTTTCTTTTTTTTTTTTTTTTTTTTTTTTTT